GTGTGGGGTGTGGCAGGTGGCTCAGGGCAGGGGGTTGGGGTGCACAGGGATGCAGGGTGCAGCAGGGAGCTCAAGGTAGGGGGTTGGAGGTGCAGGGTGTACGAGGGGGCTCAGGGCAGGGAGTCGGGGTGCAGGAGTGGTGCGAGGTGCAGGCAGGGGGCTTAGAGCAGGGAGTTGGGGGGTGGGAAGCAGGAGGGGTTCAGGTTCCAGCCCGGCGCTGCTTACCCAAAGCGGCTTTGGGATGGCAGCGGTTCCCCATTCCCGGCCAATGGGAGCTGTGGGGGGCGGTGCCTGGAGGCAAGGGCAATGCACGGAGCCCCTTGCCCCCCTGCCCGGGGGCCGCAGGGACGTGGTGCCGGCCACTTCTGAGAGTGGCGTGGGGCCCACGGCACCATGGGGGGCAATCCCACGGGCCGGATCCAAAGCCCTGAGGGGCCAGACACCTGTCTTAGAATAAGTATATCTACTAGCATATTTGTAGCTACATTCTCTTGCTGCTACAGGACTCTTCTTTGGCCTTCATCAGTGTAGTATACAAGTACTACTCAGATTACTTTAAAAAGATGGGGTCTTAACGACTGTTGTTGGTGAGTCAAGATATGAACCCAGAGAAAAAAATATATTTATAAAAATTATTCAGTTTAGAAAATCACTGATTAAGGTTCTTGCTTCAGCTTTAATATGAAATCATGTTATCTGAAGAAAGTCACATACTAATAACTTCTAAAAAAAATTCTGAACATTTTTTTTCCTTGTGTTGCTTCAGAGTTCACATATGTGCAATTTTCCGGTGCTACAAGTTTCAGTCAGTAAGCAAGTACTTAGCCTCTGAAATTTTGCAATTTAATTTACATTATACTGTACTTACTTCTGAAGCAGTGATCTAAAATTGATATTTGGGTGATCACATGGTCACTAATGATTATCATGGTAGGGTAGTGGATGGAAATAAGTATGATTTTTTTCATTCCCTTAATTACTCCTCATTTTCTAGTAATTGACTGCCACCTTTCCACTCTCTTGTTATTTCTTACACTGGTCTCTAGAAATACACCAGGAAGTAGGGTTTGTTTGTTTTTTTAAATTTATTTACTTATTTAAAGTATACCATAGATGGTCTTTCAGAAGGTTCTGAGCTTGGAGTTACAGTTGGTATATTTGCTATCATCTTAGCTTGACTGGTATTGCAGCTCTTGCTTTGCAGTCTATCTAAATCATTATGCTATAACTCTTTTAAAAATTACAGTTCTTAGCTCAGCCTTTGCTTCAAAATAATACTAGAAGATGCATAACTTCTGACTTCTCCAGGAAGTGGTCACTAGACTACATTTTCATTGATTGTGAGCATGTTTGCTTATAAGCTAAGCGCAATAAACTCTTAATGCATCATAAGGCTGCACAGTTAAAATCAATTAGGAAATGCAAACTAAGCATCCAATAGCATTTGATAATTTGGACTGTATTGGCTTTTGATATATTTGTGGTATACATTAAGAAAAAGTTGTGCACTACACATTTAAATAAATCCACTTAAAATCGTCACATTTTCTTATCTCTAAAAAATTTGCTTTCCTCCAACACCAAAAATTTGCTGTTTGAAAGATCCACTCAAAAAAGGAGAAACCAATATAAAGAGAGTGTGAAACTGGCTATACAGGAAGTGTTGTGAAATGCACAAAGTAAACAGAAAAACTAGAGAGAGATTTTTCGCTAATCTGTTACAATAATCCTACTTTACTTGTAACAATAGTGTGTAATAAAATAAAAGGAGGTTTGGGGCTTCTAGGTATGTCTAAATTATTTACATTAATTTCCAAGGGAATCTTCTGCATAATCTCATTCGGTTTTGACATTCACAGCTCAGTTTTTGATTCTCTCAAATTTGTGCCTGAGAAAAGCACCCATACCAATATTCATAAGTGTGCATTCGTGCATCAGAACTGGTAAAGAATTATTGCAATGCTAGTACTGCTGACAGTTTGTCAGGTCATTCTTCATGTGGCAAAAGTAAGGCAAATTGTCAAACACTGTTTTTTGTGAACATCTAATAAATATTGCAAATTGCTAGATGATAATTTAAAAGTAATATCTACAAATGTTGGATTGGAATATAATGATCCTGTTCATTGGCTAGTAAAGCACTTATTGTACGCTGGGAATACTTAATCACTCTCCTTACCACCACATACAAACAAAACCCAACACCACTAACTCTTATTAACTTTATTTTTTGTGTTAGCCACCAGAAAGGCTGATTGTGGTTGGGATATGTTCCATGGCAAAGAAATCCAAGTCCAAACCAATGAACGAAATTCTGGAACGCCTATCCATGTTTAAGTACATCACAGTGGTAATATTTGAAGAGGATGTCATTTTGAATGAACCTGTAGAAAACTGGCCTTTATGTGACTGTCTCATTTCTTTTCATTCTAAAGGTAAAGCTTTTCAAGTAGTAGCATGAACCTCTCACTTTTAAACTTCATTTTGCCTTTTTTTTTTTATTCTTTTAATTGAATATTTAGCCGAATTACAAGTTAGCAGTTTCTAGGGGCTTTTTGTTTTGGGTATTTGAAAAAAATTAACATAACAATTATAATATTTGAAACCCAGCTTTTAGTATTTCAGCTATTCCAGCGTTAAAATATTATGGTATTAAATATTTGGGATCATCTCATCTGCTGTGGCATTTGAAATCTAATTGCTGACCAGGCAAATAACATTTGCTTATGAAGCTATCAAATATACTTGTTCACCTCATCCCAGTAAGCACAGGACCATTCTCACTTAAAGAAACACTTTTGTACATCTCTTGAGGAATCTTGCTCTATAAGAAACAATGTTCATTCTGGATAGTCACATCCCCTCTACCTCTCTCCTCTGTACACTGGCAAAATACTAAAGTATTCAGTGTCTAGAGATGTAGCACACAGTTTTCTAATGGTTGGAACAAAAGGGCAAGAAGCCAGAGGAAAAGTGTTTTCTAGTAGTCTAACTTGATTTACTGGGTTACTAGGCTACTCTGACTTTTGTGCATAGGTCAATTCAGCTATAGATCACACTGATTAAAACAAAAATAAAAAAAACTCTACTCATTCAGGTCATTTGTATAATATTGAAATTGAAGGGTTTTTTTACCCAAATACTTAAACACGACACTAGTAAGTTAATATATATTCCTTAATAAACCTTGTTTAGGATTTCCACTGGACAAAGCAGTTGCCTATGCAAAACTCAGGAATCCATTTGTAATCAATGACTTGAACATGCAGTATCATATACAAGACAGGTAAGTAATAACCACAAATTAGATATAAACCACTTCAGCTCTATTTTACTGAAAATCAGCAAATAAAAAAAGTATTTAAGACTGTGAAATACTGGTGATATGTAATATCTTGGGATTGTCATCACAATGACAACACCAATATATGCATCATTCTACAGTAGTCTAGTAAATATACTGGCTGATAGTATCTCAAAAATAGTGTGTGGTGTGTGTGTATATATATAAAAGGGAAGGACATTAGGGACATACCTAAGCGAGATAACGTGTGATTACTATTTTGACTGCAGTGGTACCCACTATCTTTCCAAACTGAGAAAGATAGATATATATATAAAAGAACGTGTGTGTGTGTATATATATATATATACATGTTCTTATGTTCTTACATACATGTAGAAGACAGTAAATTACAAAACAAATGACTAGTAAATATTAAATAGGTGTATCTTGTTGACCTTAATCTGGTATTGGACTGTACTGCCTTTGATCAATCCTTTAGAATTATTTATTGCTTTATATTGTGGTATCTCTTAGAGGCCTGGTCTAGGTCAGGACCTCATAGTGCTAGGTTCTGTACAACCATATAGTAAATGACAATTTTTGCCTCAAATTGTTTACAGTCTGAAAGTAAATCTAGAATGGAGTAAGGGCGGTACCTTTCTCAGTTTGGAAAGATTTAGCAGATAGTGGGTACTACTGCAATCAAAATAGTAATCACAAGTTATCTCGCTTAGGTATGTCCCTAATGTCCTTCCCTTACTCACACCAGTTGAAGCTCAAGCAGTGAGATCCTGATGTTGAGTTTTTAAAATTAATTAGGAGTTTAATTTTTTTTACTTTCAACTTTGTTCTGTGGAAACATTTGTAATTACTGTCAGTCTCAAAGTATTATTTCATGAGCATTTCACTTTGTCGTTGCACAAGACACTTAGTGACAAACATTGAAAGATATTGGCAATGGTAGAGGCCGAGATAGTAATTGTGAAACACGACAGTGGTTGTGAAACAGAGAGGTTTAGCTGAAATTATATTAAATTGGGGTGGGCAAACTACGGTGAGCTGCACCATGCGGCTCGGCCCCACTCTGGCTGGGGCGCTGGGTCGGGGGCCTCACCATGCTACTTGGCCCTACTCCACCTGGGGCGCAGGGTCGGGGCTGCATGACGCGGCTTGGCCCCTGCTCCAGCGCTCTGGCCTGCGCGCAGGGTTGGGGCCATACCACGTGGCTCTTGGAAGCCGCAGCATGACCCCGCTCCGGCTCCTACGCACTCCAATGGGAGCTGCAGGGGCAGTGCCTGTGGATGGGGCAGCGTGCAGAGCTGCCTGGCTGCGCATAGGAGCCAGAGAAGGGACATGTAACTGCTTCCGGGAGCCACTTGAGGTAAGCGCTGCTCGGACCCTGCCCCTCCTGAGCCTCTCCCCACGCCCCAGCCCCCTGTCCCAGCCCTGATCCCACTCCTGCTCTCCAAACCCCTCAATCCCAGCCCGGAGCACCCTCCTGCACCCCAACCTCTCATCCCCAGCTCCACCCCAGAGCCTGCACCCCCAGCCAGAACCTGCACCCCTTCCCGCACCTCTGCCCCAGCCCTGATCTCCCTCCCATCTTCCGAACCCTTCAGTCCCAGCCCAGAGCACCCTCCTACACCCCCAAACTCCTTATCCCCAGCCCCACCCCAGAGCCCGTACCTCCTCCTGCACCCCAACCCCAATTTTGTGAGCATTCATGGCCCACCATACAATTTCTATTCCCTGATGTGGCCCTCGGCCCAAAAAGTTTTCCCACCCCTGTATTAAACAGATGAGTCTCACTGAAATGCACAGAGAAGTTAGTTATGTCCCAAAAAGTCAGATGTTACAGTTCATATACTATTTGTTATACTTACGTACAACATTATTTGACTGTAGAGTTCATGTAGTTTATTTGCTAAGTTTTTATCCACAAAATTTATGTTAAGCAAAAGTCTGTTCAGATGTTAGTGTTCTGAGTCCCCATTGTCATCCAAAGTATCTTCTCTATCTGCATCATGACCTGGAGAAGAGCTCTGGGTAGCTCAAAAGCTTGTCTCTTTCACCAACAGAAATTGGTCCAATTAAAGATATTATCTGACCCTCCTTTTCTCTCTCCATCATGAAAAGCAAATATTAATAAATGAATAGTTAATAAAGTATAGAAACACTGGAGCCTTTTGTACAGTAAAAAAAGTACAATTTCAGACACCTACCAGTTGATGACCAACAGTTGTTGCAACAGTGCACAAGCATTTCAGCAAATTTGGAATTGCACTTGCATGGAGCAAGTCTCTCCATATTCTGCTGTTTCTGTCTTGTGACAAGCTAAAAGTGTTGGCATTGCAATTCGCACTAGTTCAGTGACATTGGTGTGAAGTGCAACTGTCTAAGTAGACATCCCTTAAAGCACTGCCTACGTGAACAGAGTACCATGATAGTTATGATTATATAAAGTAAGCTTTGGGTTTCATGGACTATAAAATGTAAAGATTGTTCAGACTTTATCACTTTGGTTGGATAACCTTTGTGATCTTCTTTTAGGAGAGAAGTGTATAGCATCCTCAAAGCTGAAGGCATTTTACTTCCTCGTTATGCAATTCTGAACCGTGATCCAAACAACCCCAAAGGTAACAGATTTTCCTAACTTTCTTATTAAGGTTCTATTTTTACAACTTGGAGTATTTTGTTAAACATTTTGAATGGTAACCTTTAACGTTCTGAACCCTCTGCTTCCCTGCACCCACTTCTGTGCCCCTTTCCTTTAATTCAATCAGTGACTTCCTGCTCATTGCAAGGGGGAAGGAGATTGGGAGGAGCAGGTGCTTACAGCAAAAGTTCTCTACAAAATGTAGTTTTTAACTCTGCTATGGAGGTGCTTCAGACAGATTTTGGACTTGCCATGGTCCTTCAGAAGCAGTCCCATCCTGAATAACTTTACCAAATCTGACTGGCTGGTCTCCCTCTGCCCAACATAATGAGACCACACAGAGCACAGATATTGGGAGACAGTTGGAGGAGCTAACATTTTGAGCTGGCTGAGGGCTGTCATTCTGGAGAGTGCTAGGGATGAATTGGTACCAAGGAGCCTGCACAGTCAATGTGTTAACACGTCAACAGACTTACAACAAAGATGTTGCTCCTGGGCTAAAGGGGTCAACATCAACAGTTATGGCAAATATGCAAATAACTTCATAATGAAACTAGGCTGTCCAAGCTTCTGTTGATCTAACTAAGGTATTTATATGACCCTCATCTCTAAAGTATCTGAATGCTTCACAGTCTAATGTATTTATACTCACAACATACCTGTCAGGCAAGGAAGTGCTACTATTTTATTTCAATTCCCATCTCTAACATATAGAGACTGTATTTAATTAAATAAATACTACTGGGAATTGTGTGATTATGAGAGACTTTAATTTTCCAGATATAGATCGGATGACAAATGCTACTACTAATAATAGGGCCTAGATTTTCCTTAATGTGATACCTGACAGATTTCTACACCAAATAGTCCCCAAACCAACAAGAGGTGATACCATTTTAGATTTTGTATTGATGGGTAGTTGAGGACCTCATAGAAGAACTGATGGTTGGAGACAACCTTGGTTTGAGGGATCATGAGCTAAATCAGTTTAAACCAAATGGAAGGAGAAACAACAATAGGTCTGCAACTAGGATCCTTGATTTCAAATGGGAAAACTTTTAAAAATTAAGAGAATTAGGGAAGTGGACTGGACTGGAGAACTCAAGGATCTGAATGTGGAGGAGGGTTGGAATTACTTTAAGTCAAGGTTGCAGAAGCTATTGGAAGCCTGCATCCCAAGCAAGGAAAAAAAATTCATAGGGAGTGGTTGCAGAGCAAACTGGATAAGCAAGTGTCTCAAATAGTTGATTAAGAGAAAGCAGAAAGCCTACAAGGAACGGAAGATGGGATGAATTAGCAAGAAAGTCTACCTCTTGGAGATCAGAAAGTGTAACTGTCTGGCTGGTGGTTCTTGCCGACATGCTCTGGGTCCAACTGATCACCATATTTCGGGTTGGGAGGGAATTTTCTCCCTGGGTTAAAGTGGCAGATACTTTGGGTGGGTTTTTTTGTTTGTTTTTTTGGTGCATTTTTGCCTTCCTCTGCAGCATGGGTCACTTGCAGGTTTAAAGTAGAGTAAATGGATTTTCTGTAACTTTAAGTCTTTAAATCATGATTTGAGGACTTCCATAAATCAGCTAGAGCTTAGGGGGTCTATTACAGGGGAGGGTGGGTGAGGTTCTATGCCTCTAGTCTGCAGGAGGTCAGACTAGATGATTACGATGGTCCTTTCTGTCCTTAAAGTGTGAGTCCTTGAGAGGCAATCTATCTGTCCTGAAAATTCACTCTGCGTAAGATTGTTGCCTTGGATTTGGATTCATTCATTGTTTTTTTAAAAAAACAGAAGTTTCTTCCTCACTAGAAGTGCAACTCTCAGTACATCCTTAACTGCATATCGACCTACTGATGATTCCCTAATACATTTTTTAAAAATGTAACAAATTTTAGTTTTTATATAAGTCTTGTAAGACGCTATGTCTAAAACTGAGAAAGAATCCAGAAAAAAAGGGTTTAGGGAACATTGGGATTGAGGGAAATACCACAATTGTTTTCCGTGAATATAACTAATTTCCTCTTTGAAGGGAAGTTGAATGGTCTGTCATAAAAATTGGAAAAACTATGCTGTTTAGAAGGCAAGCTGAGAGCATAGGTCAGAATTTTCCAAAATGATCGATAATTTTTGAGTAAAACATTCAAAGTGCCTCAATCACTTTCAGTTGATTTTGAGTGAAATATATGTCCCTTTTGAAAATAGGGCTTGGGCTCATAAGTTAATGAGGCATTTTTGGAAAATTGTACCCATTGGTACCTCAAAATTTGGAAGCTTAACTTGATTCCTGTTAGAAACCTGAATTTCAGAAAGTGCTGAGTACCCCAGATTAGAAACTGTTAAAATAATACAATGGGCCAATCTAACTTCAGACTTGGTATAACAAAATATAACACAGCTAGATGGACAGGAGTTAGAGCAATAAGATAACCTGGCAAAAGCTAGTGGAAAGTATAATGATTTTTTTTTAATGTTGTGTGTGTATATAGACTCAATATTTCATGTCACTGCAATAGAAAGTCATAAAGGGATTTGAATGAGGAGAGACTAGTGGCCTGGTATCTTGCCTCAGGAAAGGCATTCCACATATAAAGGCAGCTTGAAAGAAAATGGGATATTTGAAGTGGACTAATGGGATATCAAGACTGGTATTACTAAGATGGTTTGGCAGGAAGGCCATTAGAGACCCATTTTTTGAGAAATGGATGTCCTTTGTGTACTAGTTCTTAATCACATTTATAGTAGAGACATTGAACCTGGATCCTTCTAATATACATGGACAAATATTCTCTCACACCTGATGTTGTCGGAGGAGGGGAGAGGGAAGAGGGAATGAAGATGCAAGTGTAGCTGTGATAGCCATAAAAGAGACAGTCTTCAAAAATAATTCATAAAGTCACTTACTTACATCATCCATTTAACTATTGAAGTCTCTTTGTGTTCCCCCTTTTTATTGTGTATTGCATTTGAGTCCAGTAATTTAACTACAGTGGTAACATCAGGCATATGAGCAATGAAATAAGGTTGGATGGTAGATCAAGTTTCAAAGTTCCTTTTGAACTTTCCTTAAACGTTTTAAACAATTGGATAGACCAGAATTTCTTCATTACCTTTTTCCTCCTCAGAAAAAGGCACTAATTTTGATCAGATTCTAGCTCTTGTATCATAAACTTTTTAATCTACAAACCACAGCCAGGAAATTGCACACGGCCTGCTTAAGCAAATACTGTAGCTGGCTGGACTTTGTGCAATAGGCAACTTGAAAAAAGTGAACTCGATTCAGTTGGAAATTGCAATACAAGGTACTGAAAGTTTGCCAAGTGTTTCTGTATCCATTATGATGCAGTCTTACAGTTTATTCTGTTAATAAATACTTAGTTTCAGAGATTTTAAGATTTTTGTATTTTTAATTTCATTGGTGGTAGAATTGTAGCATGCTATATAAGTTATCTCAAAAATTTGAATTTCTATATAAGGGTTGGTTTCTAATCTAATATATGGCAGTGAACACGATTGGTTTGAGATGATTAAACAGACACTTTGGGACAGATCATTCATAAAAATAGTACAATATTTGAAATGGAACAAAATGATTTCTTGAGGTTATGTACAAGTATATGCATCTTCTTGAAATAAGAGAGTTGGGGGGAGAGATGCTAAGGTGAAGAAAACATTGATATACCAAGGCTGGCTCTGCCCAGTGTGACAATGATGGCTCATTTCCCTGTTCTGTAATATCATGGGGATTGTTATGAGCAGGTGTTGCAGCATAGAGGCTGGCTCTCTCGCTCTCTCTCCCTGAAATTGAGGGACTGAGGCAATCAGATTGAATTAAAAAAAGATGAGTGATTTAAAAATAAATCTTTTTTTAAATAGCATTTTTTATTAAAATACAATATTTTTCTTTTAAAACTATTTTCAATTGAATTTGAAATCATAACTCACATTAAGAGCTAAACTTACTATAATCTATTCAAAAATAGATTAAATAAAAAAAATCAGGCAATGCATGTTTGCCACCAAAGTTTTAAAAGACAGACCAGTGAACTGGTGGAAGTCGCTGGCTAAGCGTGTGGAACCAGTGTTTGTTGACGCGCTAGACCAGTCTTTGATAGCAGTAGCCTCTTCTGCAGGCGCAGAGAATATTTTCTTTGTTCAGTTTATTCAATTAGTTGAGTTCAGCGACTAGTTAATCAAAAGTTGAGAAACCAATTGGGAGCTACAAAAGTAGGAAAGCTTATTTTTCTCTTCCACTGTATGAATAAAAATGAGGTTTAGAGGATGAGATCTATTAGTTCTAAAATCTTGAAGGACATAGTGACCAGAAACAATCAGTTCAGTTCACTAACTATTGGTAATACATCCTTTTTTTAAACAGATCAGTCAGTTTTAAATGTAAAACATGTTTTGAAAAACTCATTCTTCTTCTGTATCATGCACATTTAAGGTAGTTTTATTTAACAATTAATTTTAAAATGCTAGTTTTATACATTTTTAATTGAATTCAAGTTTCCATCCACAAATGACAAACCATGAATAGTCTAGTACATAAGAAATGTATCATTCACCATTTTCTTCCATAATAAATGGATCAATTAAGCACCTGAATAAATATATGTTAAATTATATAATTGCTTAAATAAATATGTATAGATAAAGTGTATCCTTCTGGGTAGCAAAAAGAAGTACCAAATTATACCAACCATTGAACATCTGCCTTTCTTTAGGAGAATAAAGTACAAAGGCAAAATGTGATTAAAATTGGTGATTTAGATCAATTTCATGTATGCTCATTTAACTCATAATTAAATTGCTTTGATTTAAATCAATCCATCCAGTAAGCAGGGGTGGTAGAGATGCTGGTGTGTTCTTTCTCTGTGCCTAGATAATGCTTGTAAATCACTGTTGCACTGAGAAAGTACTTCCCAGTGACCTACAGGGAAGAAACACAGATACTCCCGAGACAAGGTGAGTTCCCTTCCTGCACTTATAGGGATGGCAGAGAGATGCTAAGTTATGGAGTGGAGGGTGATGAGCAGGCACCAGTGCACCATAGTTCACTGGGTTGTTAAGTGTTTTAGGGCTCAGCCCAGCACTGATGGAGTAGAGGTCCATCCCCAGTTTGTACCAGGGAGGTGTTCTGGTGCCAAATCTGGGTCTGTTCTTAGTGCTTCCTTCCTTGAATAACTGCTCCAAACATGATTTATAAGAACTTAAAGTGGTGATTCAATTTCAATAGTTCAATATTTTTTTGTCTTAACTAATAAATTGTTAATTTTTGGAAAGTGAGTAATTGTGACTTTTATTGTATATACCTTTACTGCATAATATGTCTTTACTTTATGCTCATTTCTCCAGAATGCAATTTGATTGAAGGAGAAGACCAGGTGGAGGTGAATGGGGAAGTTTTCCAAAAGCCATTTGTAGAGAAGCCAGTAAGTGCCGAGGACCACAATGTATACATTTATTATCCAACATCTGCTGGTGGTGGAAGCCAGAGACTTTTTCGAAAGGTGAGGAAATTGCCACATTTAAAGTATTTAAAAAAACTATTGTACTGAATGACTATAATCTTGGTTCTATTATAGTGACTTAAAAAAACCAACCAAACCCTGAAATACCTTTGGAGAATCAGATGCAAATCTACACAAGCCAGAATCAAAAGACCAAATTCTCTAGCAGAGGTATGGCCTTTGTACCACAGAAGTTGTGCAGAAAGGGTCTATAATCTACCTGCAGACAATTTCCTTAACATAGAGGAGGTCTGCTAGGATATCTACACTGCAACCAGGGTCTGCTTCTCTGCCCACCATCTTGTGGTGCATATGAATGGATTCATTTTCAAGAATACAAGTTGCCTAATATACTGGTGGTTTAAACTAAACTGATGAGAGAACATACACGAACTGCTCTTGAGGAGGTTGTTGAATTTTCACCTCAAATACTCAAACAGGTTGGAACGGAAGCTGTTATAGAGATCTGTTGACCTGAATCTGTTGACTAAAACTAAAACAAGGTTCTTTCTAGTGACAATGCATTCCTACTAACTTTTATTAATTAAAAAGTCATTGCAATTAGCAGTGAGGATACATACTGAGGCTGGATATAATGTAACTTTGTGTGTAGCCTAAATGTAGTACTGTGTAATTTCAGAATCTGTGTCCTTAATCTGGTAGTGCTGCAGGATATTAGCACAGAGGTAGCATTGTACCATTTTATGGTATAGAAGTAGTCAGTCATTTGGGAAACTTTTATTTAATATTTTCAACCTCTATTAAATAGATATGACTTCATAGTCAAGTCTCTAAATAGTTTAATGTATTTGTATCTATAAAGCCATCCTTTGTGGAATATGTTTAGTTAGTTATCCAAAAGCAGGAGGGGGAGGGAATTGTGGAAGAAGAGACAGAAATCAGCTCTGAGAGTGTGCATATTTAAGGAGGTGAAAGGGTCTATCTTAAAGAAAGCTTTAATAGAAAATATTTGTTTCAGATTGGCAGCAGGAGCAGTGTTTATTCCCCTGAAAGCAATGTGAGAAAAACGGGCTCCTACATTTATGAGGAGTTCATGCCTACAGATGGCACTGATGTAAAGGTATGAAACTGCACATTCTGATTTATATTTAGAACAGTCAAATACTCCAAGAGCTTTGGCAGTTTTTGAGATGTAAATGTGTCTTGTGGGGTGGCAGGGCTCAGGCAGGCTCAGACTTTGGTCCCCCCTTGTGGGGGTCGTGTAATAATTTTTGTTGTCAGAAGGGGGTCATGGTGCAATGAAGTTTGAGAATAATTAGTATTAGAAATTATTAGTTGTTGTTAGTAGACATTTGAGAAGTATTAGTATATTTACTAATAAACTATGACTAATTATAAATGTACACTGCTTTGGAGAAAATACACTAAAAGTACATTGTTAATACATTATCTATACTTTTTTTTAGTTCATTTGCTTTATATATTTAGTTTTTATTAATTTAGATTTAAAATAATTATAAAAGACTAGGCATCCTCACATTATTATTAATAAAATAAAATCCCAGCAGTGTTAAAGTAATTATTTCAGCAGGAACTCAGCCAGTCACCTACAGAATTTCTTTCCCTTAATTGTGTGGGGAGTAGATCCTGGAAAGTCACCAAATTAATGTTATTTTGGACCATGGGAGGGATCAAGTGCCAGAGTCTCTGAGCCCTTGCTGCGAACGCCCTACCAAGAACCCCCTCTTATAATGAGGGGGAGATCCTGCTTGGATATGTTGGATGCCCACAACTGTGACTGTATGGCATGTGGAGAGGCAATCTTTCGGGTAGGCCTACTCCCAGGCTAGATAGAACTTTATGGGTCATAACCAACAGGTCCACCTGGAGACCAGTAGGAAGACGGTGCAGTGCAGATCCCAGAGTACTGATGTTGTATACTCCCAGTTAGATGCCTTGCTTGGTAAGCAAGCTGCTGCATTGTTCACCATTGTCACTCTTCAAATGTTTTTAAGATGTAGCCTCATATAGAACACATTGCAGTAGCTAATCTTGAGGTTATGAAAGCCTGAGTCAGAGCCTCCTAGCCAAACACCGATGGTAAAAGGCGGCCTGTGTCGTAATACAACCAAACAGAAGCTGGGGTTCTAAAATTAACCCTAAGCTGCAAACTCTCATAACTAATGGATGTATTCCAGCAGTCAGAGGGACTGATGTTACCTCCACCATCTCATCCAATTGCTTCCCCAACTCTGCTCACCCTCATCCATTTCTTAATCTCAGTTAGACACTGGCTGAGCTACTGAATCACATCAGATGTGATGGAGATGTACAGTTAGTTGGGTATCATCAGCAAGTTGCAAACACCACGCCTCATGCTTTCTAACAACCTCATATAAACAGTGAACAGGACAGGTGACAGAATGGCATCCTGCAGGAGCCATACCTGAGAATTCTTTGGGAAGAGGAGCAATTGCCCACAACTACCTATTGACATCTTGGAGAGAAAAGAACAAAGCTATTGAAGACAGAGTAGTCCTGACAAGAAACACCTCCCTATGATCAGTGGTATCACGTGCAGCTGATAGAAGTAGTAGTGCCTGTATAGACAAATGATCTTCATCCAGGAGGAGATTATTGACCACTGCAGTCTGTGCCAAAGCCACGCCTCTACGTAGTGTGACAAGGGCCTAGGAGGTCAAAGACCTCTAGATACGGTGAGAGTTGTCTCACCACAACCTTCTCCTGGGAAAGATGTGATACTGGTCAATAATTAGTTAGATTGTTAGTGTCAAGCGATGACTTCTTCAGTAAATGCCACACTACAGCTTCCTTTAAAGTAATAGGCAGCCTGCCAGCTCTGAGGCATTAACAGACTCCAAAAGTAAAAGACCCAGTACTTTTCCATTGGCCGTATCGCCCAGGAAGGACATACATTCAAAATACAGGTTCAGGTATGAAGTTCTCTCAGTACCTCAGCAAGTATTAGTGGCTGAAATTCTAGAAGAGAAGGCGAGGCCCTTGTTCTCTCAAGATCAGATTCTGCCACCACAGAAGCATCCCTAATTTGATCAATTTTGTCTGCAAAAAAAATCAAGCAATTTCCTCACAACAGGAGGTATTTGGACTAGCTCCCAAACTGAAATAGTTCGGTAAAACCAGACATTTTACCACTACCAAAAAAAAAAAAATACTGCTGTCTGAGACTTTGCAGGTCCTATGGTGGAGGAAGAGAACTTATTCCTTGCTTCCTGTACTGCCACAGCATATGAGTTTGATCAATTGTAGCATAAATATTTTTTTTTAGCCTTGGCACAAGACTTCCACTACTAGTGCTCTAGCCATCTTCCTTCCTGCTTTATTTGTCACTGACAATGCATCAGGCTGGATGTCCTGTGAGAACAAAGCAAAGAGGGAGCCTAGAAGCTACCTCATCATTGGTTAAGAGCATTATCATCTAATTTGCAGAGTCTATATGACAGGATGCTATTAATAGCTTCAAACTGGGTTCTGCAGAAACCTGCACCCTTAGAACACACAGGGAACTGTGGTTAAGGGTGTGATTAAGGTATAAGGGAACACTTACACCTGCTGGTGTCCTCTAGATTGAAGGTTTTCCTGTGGGTGGCCACACAGTAATTTTCTGTGTAGACAAGCCCCCGTAATGTTTTTGAACATGTGTGTGCCGCTACATGATCTGAACTTGACATAAACTCAGTAGCTAAGTTAATAACTTCTAATTTTTAAATAAAGGTGTACACAGTAGGTCCAGACTATGCACATGCTGAAGCTAGGAAGTCCCCAGCTTTGGATGGCAAGGTAGAACGAGACAGTGAAGGAAAAGAAGTGAGATATCCAGTCATCCTGAATGCACGAGAGAAGTTGATTGCTTGGAAAGTGTGCCTTGCATTTAAGGTAAACAGACCACTTACTAGCTGATAAAATGTGTAGTACTAATTGTTTACTATGTGAAAATTCTGTTAGTCAGTGCTCATAAACAGAGGTATTATTGTTAGAAATCTCCTGGGATGGAAAAAAAATTACACTCACATTTTCTTTTTTTTATTCTGGTGGACTTCTCCTGTTTTTAAATAATTAGTTTTTTAATATTCTTATTGCATACTGTCAGAGGTGATAAAATGCGGAAAACCTATTCTACTGCAATGTCTTCATGAGTTGCTCTGCCTGTGCTGGAAAGAGGGCAAAGTACCACAAGAAATGAGACGCCAACATCATCACTCTCTATAAAAACAAGGGTGACAGGAGTGACTGTAACAACTATCGTGGCATTTCCCTTCTTAGCATTATGGGAAAAGCCTGAATAGTTGTCCTGAATAGACTTGCAGACCATTGCAGACAAAATCTGTCCTGAATCACAGTGCGGCTTCACAGCTGAAAGGTCTACTATCGCTGAGACAACTACAAACAAAACAAACAAAAAAGAGAACAAAAAATGCCCGTTTACATAGTGTGACAGGATCAGGCCAGATGGCTACAAGAGAGTGATAGAAGGCAGATATATTAGCCTCAGATTAAGCAGGTCCCTTTTCCCTGGGTAAGGTAACAGGGGCGGTTCCAGAACAATCAGAAACTTGCTGGAACCAATTAAGGCAGACATGCTAATTAGGACACTTGGAGCCAATTAAGAAGCTGCTAGAATCAATTAAGACAGGCAGGCTAATCAGGGCACCTGGTTTAAAAAGGACCTCACTGCAGTCAGTGAGGGGCGTGCAAGGAGCTGGGAGCAAGAGGTGCGCAAGAAGTTGAGAGTGAGTAGGCGTACTGCTGGAAGACTGAGAAGTACAAGCGTTATCAGACATCAGGAGGCAGGTCCAGTGGTGAGGACAAAGAAGGTGTTGGGAAGAGGCCATGGGGAAGTAGCTCCAGGGAGTTGTAGCTGTCACGCAGCTGTTACAGGAGACATTAAAGACAGCTACAATCCACAGGGCCCTGGGCTGGAACCCGGAGTAGAGGGCGGGCCCAGGTTCCCCCATCCTCTCAATTCCCTATTTGATATAAGAGAAGTTGGTCTAGACTGTGGGTCCCACCAGAGGGGAAGGTCTCTGGCCTGTCCCCCGACCCATTAGGTGGGCCAGCAGAGACTGCGGGGGATTGTTCTCCTCCTTTTCTCCATGCTGGCCAGTGATGAGGTTAGCTGTGTGAACGGCAGGTTTGTGCCACTAACAAAAGGAGCCAAACTGAGGACTGACAAAAACCTCTGAGGCGAGCAAATCTGCCAGAAAGCGCAGAATCCACCAAGGAGGAAGTTTGTCACAGCAGCCTTTGTCGATCTCACAAAGGCTTTTGACCTTGTCAGTAGAAGTAGACTATTTACGCTTCTAGAAAAGATTGAATGTCCCCCCCCCCCCCCCCCAACGTTCTCAAGCATGATTTGATCTTTCCATGAAAACACATATGGCACAGTTCAGTACAACAACTCAGTTTCTGAGGCTTTCCAGATGCGTAACAGAGTTAAGCAAGGTTGTGTACTTGCCCCAACTCTGTTTGGGGTGGGTCTTCTCCTTGCTACTGAAACACGCTTTTGGTTCCTCAACTAAGGGAATCTACTTGCACTCAAGATCTGATGGGAAGCTGTTCAATCTTGCAAGACTCAGATCTAAAACCAAGACTTGAGAGGCCCTTATCCAACACCTCCTCTTTGCTGATGACGCAGCAATGACAGCCCACACAGAAGTCCATCTCCAAAACCTTACGAATGGTTTTTCCAAAGCCTGCCAAGACTTTGGGCTTACCGTAAGCCTAAAAAGAATGAACATAATGTGCCAAGGAGTCGAGAAAGCACCCTCCATCAAGATCAACAACTATGAACTTGAAGTGGTAAACAAGTTCACATACCTGGGGTCCAATATTGCAGTCAACCTTTCACTTGAAATGGAGCTCAACATCCACATTGGAAAAGCCGCCACAATGTCTAGACTAAAGAAAGAGGGTATGGCAAAACAACAAACTGACAGAACACACAAAGATCTGTATGTATTGTGCATGTGTTATCAGCACACTTTTTTATGGGAGCGAGATGTTGACCTTATACTCTCATCAGGAAAAGAGGCTCAACAACTTTCATATGCGTTGCCTTCATCAAACCTTTGGCATCTCCTGGAAGGACAGAGTCACCAACACTGAGGTGCTCAAGCGGGCTAGCATACCCAGCATGCAAACGCTGCTCAACCAGAGATGCCTCTGCTGGCTTGGGCATGTGTGCTGAATGAATGATGGGCGCATCCCAAAGGACATAGTCTACAGCGAATTGGCATCTGGAAAAAGACCCAAAGGACACCCAAAATTGTGTTTCAAATATGTGTGCAAGTGAGACCTCAAAGAAATGGACATGGATGTGGACAACTGGAAAGATCACACTCAAGACCGCAGCTTTTGGAAACAAGAGCTAAACAAAGGTCTCCTGAGTTATGAGGGGAAGCAGTCCAGCTTAGCAGAGGAGAAGAGCTTGCAGAAGGCAGAGCCCAAAGGGTCGAAACATCACCTTTAAATGTGACAGATGCAGCAGAGATTCTCTCTCGAATATGTCTCTTCAGCCACAGCCGCGGCTGCCATAAAACAGAGTACATTTTTTACCTCTCAGGGGTGGATTCCCATGGTCTCTCGAGACTGAAAGATGCCTACTACTGCCATTGTGGACAAATAGAGAGATCTGAATTCAGAAAACTCATACATAAAATATACAACTGTAGATTAATGCGACATGCATATTTTTCTCTCCTGTTTTGCATGTGTGCATGCTAGCTTACATTCACTCAGTTTAATTTGTAAAGGCTGATTTTTTTGTATTAAACAAATCTGTTTGCATTCAGCTTGCATAATCTTAAATATATGTTTTGTTGGGAACAATGGGCCTTTAGTGATGCAGTTGCAGTTAATCACATAGGTGTGACTCCTAACTGGTGCCAGCACTAGTCCCAGTGCTAGAATATATTAAGCTGTAAAGTCTTCAGTGATGTCAGAACCAAGAGTCCCAAATAAAATGTGTAGTTTTTGTATTTGAAAACTAATTTGAAATAATCTGGGAAAGGAGCAAAATGTCTTTACTAATAACTATTTAAGGCTTACATCTACACTTTGAGCTAGGATGTGATTTCCCCTCCTCATGTACGCATACTCAGGCTAGCTCTCAGTAAGCTAGCACAAGTATAACAACAGTGTAGCTGTGATAGCACTAGTGGTGACAGCGGAGGCACAGCTGAGCCATATTCAGTACATTCCCACCAGTTTCAGGCATGTGGTTCTACTCTCACACTATCTTTGGGTTAGGAACTGTCTTTTGTTCTGTGTTTGTAAAGAACCTAGCACAGTGGTTCCTGGTCCATGACTAGGGCTCCTATAGTAATACAAATAACAAATAATAATAATCTGAAAAGTGACTGTTAAAATGGCATTAGTGCATCAAGTTTATAAATAGCATATTTTTTGGTAATTCTGAGAGATAAGAAGATGGTGTGTGTATGTGTTTCTCTCTCTCTCCTTAACTCTTACCGCTACCAGAAAAGAGGATTCTGCAGTCCAAATTCTATGGACAGTGGGAATTCTGAAGATAATGTGGATGCACAAGTGTAACGGAAAGCAGAATTTGGCATGCAGAATTCATGTTGCTAGTGATGTGTGAGAAGTTAAGAACTCAGGTTGGGATGTAAGGCAAGTAATTAGGAAAACATTGTGTATAAACTGAACAAATTTAATATGGAGTCACTGAAGAACAATAAATATAGAACCCACAATGCCATTTTTGTGTTGCCTTTTCAGATCAGAACCATACTTAACATGCAGGTCTGGAAACACGAGACCCTTGACTGAAATGGAAACTGTGCTTTTCACTATTTATTCTTAACAGCAAACAGTTTGTGGCTTTGACTTGTTGCGTGCTAATGGACAATCCTATGTCTGTGACGTCAATGGCTTCAGTTTTGTGAAGAACTCCATGAAATACTATGATGATTGTGCGAAGATACTTGGGTAAGAATTCATTAATTGATATTATATGATTGGTTTATATGTTCATGCAATCATTTCTTTGCTATGGAAGTTTTCATCCAGTTTCCAAAGTATTTCTGTCTTAAACATTTTTTTTGAGGGCTCCTTTTACTCGAGGGTTGAAACAAGTTCAAGGAATCTTCTGGATAGTTTTTTTCTTTAAAGCAGGAAAAGCCTTTGCTTTTAAAGCAAGCATCATCTAGAATAACTAGAAATCAAAAATAAATTTATAAAAGTTTGTTTATTTTTTTTCTTTTCATGTTCATTCCCCTATGCCTTAGAAAAGTGACTATTGCAGAATTCAAAATCAATCTGAGAACATCTTTGTTAGACAGAAAAATAAAGAAATATGCCAACTTGTTAAATTTGTTTAATGGATTAACTAACCCAGATAAAAAGTGCAAGTTAAGGTGTGCTGTACAGAGATTGGTTGAAAGCACAGCTTTGCACTGCCCTTGTCCGGGTGCGGCTTTGGGCCTGGCTGTTGCTGCCCACATTGTGTTGAGGCAGTCATCAGACTACTGTAATTCATATTGGCTACAACAGCCCAAAGGGCTGAAAATTTAGACCAAGATTGGTGTGATATAGAAGGATCCTGACTGTGCCTTCCCTTCCTTCAACCATGCCCCCTTTTCTCTGCTACCATGCCACTGATTTGTCACCCATAAACTAGGGTGATTCTGTGTTGGCCAGTTAAACTGTCTTTACAACAAGATTATACTAGTGGTGTAGTGCAAAAAGACCATATTACACTGAATCACCTGAGCTGAAAGGAGGGAAATAATTCCTGTTAGATAATAACAGTCTTGTTGCTTAGATTTAGTGGCAGGAATTCTGAAGATTCAAGTGCACTTCTCCAGTTTTACGCAGTCAACTTAGTCTAGATTCCTATCATGGTGCAAAGAGCTTTCATCTACATTTTTTCCTTATATTAAAAATAGCATTGTTACAGCAGAGCTAAATCAACAGCAGACTTGCACTAAGTTTGGGAAGTCTAGGAATCATTGTTCATAGATTGAGTTAAGTATCTAAGGCCTGGTCTACACTATGAGTTTAATTCGAATTTATCAGCGTTAAATCGAATTAGCCCTGCACCCGTCCACACAACGAAGCCATTTATTTCGAAAGGGCTCTTAAAATCGATTTCTGTACTCCTCCCCGACTAGGGGAGTAGTGCTGAAATCGATACTGCCATTTTGAATTAGGGTTAGTGTGACCGCAATTCGACAGTATTGACCTCCGGGAGCTAACCCACAGTGCACCATTGTGACCGCTCTGGACAGCAATCTGAACTCGGATGCACTGGCCAGGTAGACAGGAAAAGCCCTGCGAACTTTTGAATTTTATTTCCTGTTTGCCCAGCGTGGAGAGCACAGGTAACCATGTAGTCCGATAATTGAAAAAGAGCACCAGCATGGACTGTACGGGAGGTACTGGATCTGATCGCTATATGGGGAGAGGATTCAGTGCTAGCCGAACTACGTTCGAAAAGACGAAATGCCAAAACTTTTGAAAAAATCTCCAAGGGCATGATGGAGAGAGGCCACAATAGGGATTCAGATCAGTGCTGCGTGAAAGTTAAGGAGCTCAGACAAGCCTATCAAAAAACAAAGGAGGCAACGGTTGCTCCGGGTCAGAGCCACAGACATGCCGCTTCTATGCTGAGCTGCATGCAATTCTAGTGGGGGCAGCCACCACTACCACACCTCTGACCGTGGATTCCGAGGCGGGGGTAATTTAAGCCACACCTGAGGATTCTGCAAACGAGGAAGAGGAGGACGAGCTTGCGGAGAGCACACAGCACTCCGTTTTCCCCAACAGCCAGGATCTTTTTCTCAGCCTGAGTGAAGTACCCTCCCAAGGCAGTATCCAAGACCATGACCCCATGGAAGGGACCTCAGGTGAGTTTTCCTTTTAAAATATAAAACATGGTTTAAAAGCAAGCGTTTTTTAATGATTAATTTGCCCTGAGGACTTGGAATGCATTCGCGGCCAGTACAGCTACTGGAAAAGTCTGTTAACGTGTCTGGGAATGGAGCGGAAATCCTCCAGGGACATCTCCATGAAGCTCTCCTGGAGGTACTCCAAAAGCCTTTCCACAAGGTTTCTGGACAGTGCAGCCTTATTCCGTCCTCCATGGTAGGACACTTGACCACGCCATGCTAGTAGCAAGTAATCTGGTATCATTGCCTGACAAAGCCTGGCAGCGTATGGTCCCGGTGTTTGCTGGCATTCAAGCAACATCCGTTCTTTATCTCGCTGTGTAATCCTCAGGAGAGTGATATTCATGGTAACCTGGTTGAAATACAGGAATTTAATTAAGGGGACAGAGGTGGCCCTTCCTACTGGGCTGTTTGCCTGTAGCTGAAAAGAAATCCTTCCCTGTAGTAAGCCGAGTGCGGGGGGCGGGGGAGGGTGATTGGTGCTGAGCTTTTCACGTGTGGCTAGCAGGGATCTTCCCTGATACCAG